GTCTAAGAGCACAGAGAATGGAGGAAGAGCTTGACATGTATTCAGATAGGATCTTTAAAAGGAAGTATCTTATGGGGGAAGATGTTAACGGGCCTAGTTCTAAAACTATTGTATCTAGCAAATTGCATGCACCTGCAGACTATGGAGGTCCCTATGACTGTGAGGAGCGGATTGATGAAGATATGATTGGTTTACATGCATCTAGGACTAAAGGATATGGCCACAATGAATATAGAAAGGTTGGAAGGACATATGATGGGCAAGACCATTGTGGAGATTTGGCATCGGATGACTGGTTTACATCCCAAGATTCTCTTGCACATTCACAAAGGGTTCCAGTCAGATATTACAAAAATAGTGGTAAATTTATTAAGGGAAATCCCAGAACTGGTTCATTTAACTGGCATACCTCACACCACAATGACAGACGAAGTAATCTGTACAAACAAAACAAAGTTAGGAAAAGAAATGATGATTATGATGAGTATGTAAATGCAAATGATGGTGACATGACAGAAGATTTGGTGAATCATGCAGAGGCTGAGCTGTCTGAGGATTCAGAAGAATTTAAGCAATTGGTACATGAAGCATTCTTAAAGTACTCTAAAAAGTTAAATTTGAACCAGTCTGTTCGTAGAAGATACAAGGAGCAAGGGCATGCTGGTAGTTTGTTCTGCATCGTATGTGGTAGAAGGTCTGTTTTCTTTTCTATGACATGCATTTTAAAGAGGGGCACATATTTTCATGTATTTGTTTGTTCGAATGAGGAGTTTCCCAGTATCTCTTAAAGCTGCAATCAAGTACGAACCGGCCCAAAAGGTTTTATCATTTGGTCTTTCTAGGACTTTCTTATGGTGCTTGAACTTTTTGGGAACCAACAATCTCCTTACTATTATTTAGTTGTTTAATTTCTGAAAGGTGGATTGCGAATTGAAATGAAATTCAGTGTTTTTCAATTCTGGCCATATAGTTTTTTGGTTAAATGGTAAGTAGGGTCACACAATGGATTGTCAGAGTGAACTTTGTTTCAGGGCTCAATATAAAATCATCTTCGTCTCAGCAGTAATATGCTGACGTAAGTAGATTACTTAATGGAAATGGCCCTAATACTGATGATTTATTAACAGTTGCAGGTTTTGTGTAGTGGGACAACAAGTGAATCCAACTTCATAATTTCAATTGTTGACTCCATGAGACCTTAGATATGATAATTGTTTTCGTGTACTACTCAAAGAAGAAGAATAGAGAGGAAAAGTGCAGAACATTTTAGTTGTTTTGAATTTTGGGTTTGTGGCCCAAAAATTGCTGATAGGGCTAGCATGTTCGCTGTGATGGGATTGAGGCTTCCAGTTTCAGCAACCTAAGTTCCATAACATTTATATGGAAGTGTATCCACAGAGGTTGGAGATTTTCGGCTTTGGATGACATTTGCCTATAAAAGTGAGCTAGCTGCTGAAAATTGGTTGATCATGACATGTCAAGTGGAGAAAATCTAAGGATTTTATAAGTGTGCTAATATGGAGAATCATGTGGACTTTATTGTGGATACAACTTTTAGCATTCCTTGCTCATTATTGACTGACTTTTGAGAAATAGCTGCTTGGCTTTCAGTGGAATAGGCATCTAGGATGTTTGGGTTGAGTCATTTCATGCTCATTCTCCTTAACAAGCCTGTTATGCTGTTAAGGAGCAAGGCTAGGACCCTGGGTGTCTGATAGAGGGGTTTTTGTAGTCTTAATGTCAGACCTACTAGATTGTTGTCATAAGTATTTGTAGTCTTAAGTGCAGCCAGGCAAATCAAAGAGAGTAACATAACAGCTACATGGTCTGTCAAATATGCTAGAGGTCAAACTATTTGAATTTTGCTAACAACTTTGTTAAAAACTTTTTTTATTTTGTTTTGCTGTAGTTTTAAACTGTGATTTCTTGTAGCAAGATAAGTGTTGATCTTAATTATCTGTCTGGTGTCTGGCCGAGATTCTGATAGGATCAGGAGGTTGCATCAGTGAAGTGCCATTTTCTTTCACTGTTTGTTGACGAAGATTCTCTTTTGGAACAAACAGTTTTTCTGAGGTTTTGTTGTTAATATGTTTGTGAAAATAACTCTCTCTGTGTGTTTGTTCTTTGTTTTTAAGTCCTCTTTGTTAATAAAAGCTTTTGCATAAGCAGTCTACTCTTTTGAAAGGAAAGTCAGGTTATAGTAAAATGCGATGCTTTGCTTGATTAGAGATATCCTTTGGTTTTTCACTTTTCACACTTCGTTTATCCTAGCTTAACTTTGTCGATGATATGGTCCTCTATATACAAGGAAAATCTTTTGAAAAATTGTCTATACCCCTCTTGGATGGGTGTCCATGTCTGACTCTTGAGCCTGGGTTGAGCAACATAGGATATGTTAAGGTAGGTCACATTTTGATAAAAGGTGAGCTTGGGTTCGGGAGCACCATTTTCTACTTTAGTCCCAGTGACTGCAGAACAAATGGTTTGAGGTATACTGGATGGGTTAATTTATCTTCTTGATTTTGATTTGAATCTCTGGTGAGGATACTGGTTGTTTACCTTCTTTATGTACCTGATAAATTTTTAATGGCTGTGAGAGCATCAATATTTGTGAACAAATTTAAAGATTAATAATTCTTTGAATCAATATCTTCCAAAAATTTAATATTATGATGATTTTTCCTGTCTACCTCTCTGTTATTCTTACATCTGTGCTCTTACAGTTACTCGAAGGAGTTCATGGACACCCAACGCTTGGTAACTCATACCTTCATGTCTCACAAGGTTGGCTTGAGAGCACAGCACTTGGGTCTTCACAAAGCAATATGTGTTTTGCTGGGGTGGGACAGCATAGCACCCCCTGACACTATAACATGGGTTCCCCTTATCTTGCCTGAAGCTGAAGCTTTGGCTCAGAAGGAGGATTTGGTTCTCTGGCCTCCAATTGTTGTCATCCACAATATTTCCATGGCAAACAACAATCCTCAAGAACAGAAAGTTGTTCCGATCGAAGGTGTTCAGGCTTTTTTAAGAGGTGAGTAGTTGGCTGACAATATTAACAAATAAAAATGATAGACAGAATTGTTGAAGAATGACAGAAGATACTAATAAAAATAAGTTACAAGTTGAATCAGGTTGCCAATGTGCACTTTGAATAATTGGAATTAATCATGATGTTAAAAGTTTTCTACTTATTGGTGAATGTGAAGGACTTTCTTTGACCAGAAGACAAGACTGATAATTTATACTTTCATATGTTGTCGTTTCCTTTTTTCTTTTTTGTCCTTCCTCTTGTTGGTTCTTGAATGATGACAGGTAAAGGCTTTATTGGGGGAAAAATCACTGTGTGCCTAGGGAGGCCTGCAGATCAAAGTATTATGGTGGTGAAGTTCTTGGGCACTTTTACTGGACTGGCAATGGCAGAGAGTCTTCATAAGTATTTCGTTGGGCAGGAGCGAGGGAGAGTGGATTTTCAGCAAATAACATCAAATAATGGAAAAAGCAGCGTGGGAGAAATGCAAATAGAGGTTGACAAGTTGGAGGAGCAGCTTCTCTATGGTTATATGGCAATTGCAGAGGACTTGGACAAACTTGATTTCCATAACAGGAAATGGAGCCTGATAAAGAGCAAGAAGGAGATTCAGGACTTGGCAAATGATCCTGTTAAGATTGATGAGAGGTAGCTGTTTAACAAATGCCGAAGGTAGTGATGTTGTTAGATCTAAATTGCCTCATGTTTACTTTTTATTTGTTAAAAAAGACTGGCAGGAACCTTATCTTATCCTTGAATGAATATTTGTGTCTAAAACAATAGTGTGACTTAATTACTACCCATATTATCTGCAAGCTTTGTAATCCTACAAGTATTAATGTAAACAGATAATAAAAGTGCTACACTTTTAACTATAACTATTTTTGTTGGTGTTTATGTTGCCTTTCTTATGCTTAAAATCCAGGATGATGATCTAACCTTGCCTGCCTCCATAAAAGGCCAAATGCTTGTTTTCTGCTTCCCTGAGGGCGAAAGGGGGAGCAGGGATAAGAGGAGATGCATCTCCAACCCTTTTACATGCCTTGCTTTATTCTCAGTCTCAACCTTCGTTCAAGAATAGATTTTACCTGCAACATGGGTTTCATTGGTAATTCATAAGGGATTTTTTATTTATTTTATGCTTCTTAATTGTATTGGCATCCAATTTTGCATAAAAGCAAATAGGGCGAGGGAGAAAATGTTGTTCACCCTCTCAATTTTTGCTATTAGAAATCCTTTCAACTGCAACACACAGGCGTGGTTACACTCTAATAGTAACTTGTCCCTATTTTTATAGCTAAGCTTATTATCAAGATAAAATGCACCTAGATCTTTAAATATTGTCTTAATTTATCTCAGGTCGGTTAATTTTCAAAAATGGATACTTGGCTGCAGAAGTTGAATTGAAAAACTACTAAACCACCCATGAAACCAGATTACTTGATTCCTTGCTTGTTAATCTTGGTCTGAATTCTTAATTTGATCTAAGAACCAAAAATAGGATAGGGGCGTCCCTCCACACGCTATTACACCATATCAGTCATCCATTGGGTGCGTACTTGTAATAGGCATGACAATAGGTAAGTGTCACACTGCAAAAACAGTGAAGCATGGACCATTAGCTAATCGCATGGCTCGAGGAGGTCTTCAAAAATGCAAGTCTTAGTTATGTGTTTTTGGAACAGAAACAGATGACATTTAAAGCTGAAAATTCTGGCAACTTTCACCAGGGAAAAATAGGAATAGATAATTATTATTATCATATAACATGGAATGCTTTAACTATTCTAACAATAACTAACAATTAGTAGTTTTGAATAAAGTTAGGAATAGTTTATAATTACTATAAGATCAAAAATATCCAACTTAAACTATTACAACTGGATCAAGTAAACCCTAATATCTTATTAGACTTTCCGTAAAACGGATTGAAGTAGGTTGTATACGTTTAGTTAAAAAACATTGTTGATGAGTACATTATATCAGTAGAGATGCCTTAATTTCTAGCTTAATTCTGAATTCCATGAGTTTGAAGATAGAGGGAGTATCGCAAATGGATACAACAGCAAGAAAGCTGATCTGCTTTGTTTCTCGCTTGCTCCAAAGAAAGGAATATACTAAGAGGGAGCATGAAGAACCCTGGTAGACAATAATAAGAGAATATCTTTTATTGGAATCAAAGAACAATGCAGGATATGAGTACCCCAACTGTTCAGATTATACAAATTTTTTATGATAAACAAACAATAGACATTAACAAATCCCCCCTTCACACAATTATTCATGCACAAAGAAAATGTTGGGGCATTTTCTCACCTCCTTTGGAAGTTAAGGAACTTGATTCCATAGGCAAAGACAAATAAGAAGAGAAGGACCCAGCCAATATGGGCTACAACAACTGCTGGAAGGAAACTATAGTCAAACCCTAGGTGTGTCTCAAGGTAATTTTTCACAGTCAGTTCGGGTTCTCCTGGTATATCAACAGGAGCAAGTTGGTCACCCACTTGGGAAGTCACCAGGCCATAGATTGTCCATGCAACTGGAGAAGCCCAATAGTACCACCTCCACCAAATTGGAATTTCCTGCAAATATTCAAGTGCTAGGAGTTCAGTTTTTCTCTCATGATATAATAAAAGAAAAGACAAAAAAGAAAAAAGGGAAATGATTAGCAATTAAATTGAAGTGAGATTAAAACATATAGAGCATTGAAATGATTGCTTTCATCTTTTAATACATACCGTCCTAGGGATGAGGAAACCAGAAAACAGGTTCCAGAAGCTTAGAAAGAAGGACATAACAATGGCAGCAAATTGATGGTTAGGAGTGAGAGCCACAAGCATCATCCCGTAGAGTGTGAAGTACATGAAGCACATCAATATGAAGTAGTAGAACAACAAGAACTTTCCAACATCTATGTGGAATCCAATCATTGAGTAAAGCAGTAAACTATATACCAATGTTTGGATTGAAACATATATTGCCTCTATTGCCACCTGCAAGGCATAACACAACACTGGTAATATCAGCTACATATGCCCTTATTTCCTGATTATCTCCCCTAAATTATTTTGAGTGTGCATTTGAGGAATGGAGTGTCAATTATTTAGATCAATCTAATGCTAAAATTTCAACTTCTTTTACCTGAGAAAATGCATAAGGCAATGGTGAATACATTCCTGCTGCTCTTTCACGATAAAAGACTGTTCTTTCAATTGCCACAACAGATTGTACTGCTGAAGTGTTGGTGGCGCCAAGGAAAAGGACAGCAGAGTACATAGCTCCCAGCAGATTCATTAGATCTTGTTGCTTGTGTCTGTTCAAATAACATTTGCAAAATTATCCTGAATGAAATCAAATAAAATGTTTTCCTGATAGCAGATGCCATTCATATTTCTGTTCCCACAGATTTATGGTACTGACTTCTCAATGACCAAGAATAACAGGACAGTTATGTGTCAATGCAGAATTAAATAATAAGACCAGCTGTTATCAGATTTGATACTTCTTAGAACAAACATTTTATTGTTTCAAACCTTTCCCGAAAACTAGTAGAAGTGTAGGAAAGAGCATGCCAACTTATCTGGTGTCTTTAACTACAATCCATTATAGGACTTGCAACCATGTCATCCACAACTATTGAAGTTTAACTTACAAAGGAACAGAAGCACAAATGTTTTCGAAATTATTTCACATGAATGCAGGATTCTTTAATGGCAAGTTTCAGTCAAGGCCATTTTCACAGTATTGGGTAAGGAGAGAAGACCCTAAATATCTTAAGTATTTTTTTGAGTATGGACTGTGGTTTGTATAATACCATCACAATGATAACTAAATAAGAAATTTTGGACTTACATCTTATCCCCTTTGTCCCAGAAAATCATTCCAAATATGATACCAACAATAACTGTCATGAAGAATCGGATGGCATTGTATTGTGGGTTCCTCCAATACGAGCAGTGCTGCTTCCAGAAGCAGGCTCGACATTGAGTAAAGAAGTCTTGAGAATATTTGGTGGAGAAGTGAAGGTCCTTAGTTCCAGGTACTGGGGTGCTTAAATCTTGGATAAGCTCCTCATTTTTCCTGGTAAGTTACAAACTCATTTCAACCTCAGAAGAGATGGAGAAAAAGGGGGAAATAGAGGCCAAAAAGGCTGGAGTCAGTGAGATAGTAGGTTCAATCTCAGTTACCTATGAAGTTCAGATTTGGCATAAATTTCAGCAAAATCTACATCAAGTTGGGCCTCGACAGCAGTTGAACTAATTTCCAACATCCATGTGGCAGGATTGTAACCTTCTTTGATTTTTGGAACCCCTGGTACAGCCTGCAGAAAGTTATGGACATAAGTTGTGAGAGTTCTGACACCAATGTTAACATGGATGCAGTATGAGAGAATTGATTCTCACTTCAAAGTATTCTATAAGTTTGTGAGAATGGAGTCCAAGTGGTCCAGCGTAAATGGCCTGTCCTCCTCTCTTCATCAAGAATAACTGCAGTCAAAAGGAAATCGTATTAAGCAAATGCAATGGGAACTATGAAAAACAGAGGAAGGAAAGATTTCTAAAACTGAAACTTTCAGGTTTTAACAAATCTACAATACCTCATCAAAAGCTTCAAAAATGTCTATGCTTGGTTGGTGAATTGTGCAGACCACGGTTCTCCCCGTATCCACTGTATTTCTCACAGTACGCATGACAATTGCAGCTGCTCTAGCATCAAGGCCTGAAGTTGGTTCATCCATGAAGATGATCGAGGGATTAGCAACCAATTCAACAGCTATTGTTAGCCTCTTTCTCTGTTCGGTTGAAAGGCCATCAACTCCTGGAAGGCCAACTAGAGAATTCCTGAGAGGATTTAGCTCTACCAACTCCATTACTTCTTCAACAAACATCTGTTGCAATGAATACAACAATGAACACAGGTCATTTCTTGAACTCTGAGCTGCGACTAGACATAATATACTTTTTCAATTGTCACAAAGCAATGGAGAGAATTAAAGGATTGTATACATTTTATGATATAGTAAGATCTGGGTTAAAGGAAAACATGCCTTTCGTGTTTCTGCATTAACCTCCTTTGCAAGACGAAGCCATGCAGAGTACACAAGAGATTCATAGACAGTAACATGTGGAGAATGGATATCATTTTGTTCACAGTAGCCGCTAACCCGAGCAAAAGTTTCTTGGTTCTTCGGGTAGCCAGAAATGCTAATACTTCCATCAATATACCCACCAGTTTTTCTTCCTGCGAGCACATCCATCAAGGTGGTCTTTCCAGCGCCACTAACCCCAACCAATGCTGTTAGGACACCAGGCCTGAAAGCACCACTTACATCTCGCAGTAATTGAAGACGGGTCTCTTCAATTCCTTGGCTCTTCATTTCCTGATGAAGAGATTTTTACCATCAATGTTTTCCTTCGGTAGATATCAATGTAATACAGCAATTTACTTCTTTTGAAATACATATTGCAAAGTAGAATAAAAAGGAAGATCACTATGAAGCAACGTGATGCTAGTGTAAACGATTATGCTGCAGCCATAGGACAAAAGTGAGAGGAAACCACAAAATTGTTGAATGATCTTCGTCTTTTCCATCTTAAGGTAAAATTTCTCTATAGAAGTAGAAATATGGAGAAGGGACTCACAGCAGGCATGTCAACATAGTAATTCATATGGTTAAATGCAAGTGACAAGGGTTGGAAGGGCAACACCATTCCTCTCTTTGTAGGTGCCTGGTCTGCAGCACTAAGTATTGAGTTGTCAGGAGTATTCTTCACAGTCGTATCATCAGTGCCTGCAATCATTCATTTAAATCTTTCACCACAAGGAAAAACATGTTTCACTGTATTACATTTAATTTGTAAGCTCCAGTGTTCTTTCCAATAAACAAATGTAAGGTTATCTACATACTAAAACCACAAAGCAATCCGGCATCTTTAAAACATGAAAATATATATATATATATAGTTCCCTGGAAGAAAGAAAACAACCCTCCATTTTTTTCTTTATTTGTATTTTCTGAAACAAACGTTCCATTAGAAGATTGTTTCTAGTAAGATTGTATTCGAAACTACTCATAATTTTCAGAATAGAAGTGTCAGGTTAAAACATGTCAAACCTTCAAACAATGCAGCGGTTGACGTTTTACTCATTTCTATGGATCTCAAATTATGCTGTCCATCAGAAGATGACTGCTTCTTGCTCTTACTCTCATCATCTTCACTCAGAACAACAGATTTGGAATCTCCCAGAGCTGCATTTTCAAATCATTGTCAAAACCAGAATCCTAATTTGCTAATAAAAATGGATATTGGCATGAGTTTGGTAGCTTACGATTCAAATATGTCAATGCCGCAATAAAACAGAGATTAAAAAGCAGAGAAAATCCAAGGAGTGCAGCAACACAAATCCAATACCAGTGCTCTTCTGTATACATGCCTCTGGATTTGAGAAGAATCTTCCCTACTGTGGTCGATTCATTAGATGACACAGGGTAAGGCTGTAATAGATAAAGTATGGAAAATATCAAGATCAAATAGTAACATATACTTTATTATAATAGGAACACTATTTGCATATTCTTAGGAGATCTTACAGCACTCCATCTTTTGTCAAGAAATTCAGTGATGACAATGGCATTTTGTCCATATGACATGGGAGAGACATAGTAGCCCCATATCATCCATGGCTTGATGTCATCTGCAAAAGGAGATTAGAAAAGCTGCTATGAGATCAATAATATCAACAAGGACAAAAGAACTTGAGAATCTTTATATGTCATTACTATGTTGCAACCATAAACAAATATATTGCGCCAAATAAGTTTGGAAATGGCTCATTTCAGCTAGACAGAAGTGCAAGCAATTTAAAGACAAAAAGTACTAACCTTTGGCTACAACAAATCCACCAAGGACAAAAACTACGAGGAGGGTAAAGGTACCAAGTGTGTTTGCTACAACCTGTGTCCTTCCAACTGCAGCAATGAAGCGGAAGAGAGAGAGAGCCATCTGGTGAATACCAAAGAACGCCAAGAATTGACGGAAAAACCTGAAACAGAAATACAATTGTAGATTGACATAGCTCAGAGGCTGGAAAATAGTAACTGCAGTTCTGTGTGACTGAATATTGTGCATTCTCATACCTACTAGCAGCTGGAGCAAAACCAATAGTGTAGTATGTGAGGATGATCCATATCCCTGACTCTAGCAAAGAAAGGGGGATCCTAAGGACCCAAATTGGCAAGGCAAAGGCCCATGCTGGATAAAACAAGAAATCCCTTTGTTTGAAGAATACTGGAAGCCTAAATATGGTCAGTGCAAGCTCTGCCATCCCATTAAACATAACGTTAATGAGACTAAAGAACAGTGCACCATAGAATTTCACTCCATTTGATATATGACCAGCCTTCATTTTTGTCCTAAAAAACACTGTGAAAGCAATGACAGACATAATGGTAATTTGAGTGGTCTTGAATATATACACGAAAGAGTTGCGCTTCATCAATAGCCACTCTCTTGCAAAGCAAGCCTTGAAAAGTTCCCAGTTTGAGATTCCATACTTCTCTTTCACCAAAGCAGCTGGATGAGCTTTAGATTTATCATAAGGAATTCTAAGTTCATCATCGAGCTTTTGACCAATGTGGAAAGAGTTGAAATGCTCCACGAACTCTGGTACAGATATATATTGATAAGGTTCATTCTTTCTGCACCAATACTGCTGCTGGTCCTTTCTGGACGTTACTTCTTGTAAGAAATCTGCGACTCCTTTTCTCTCAGGACATTTGAATCCCACACTTTCAAAGAATTCAAGAACATTTTCTCGTGGTCCTTGATACACTATCTTACCCTCAGAAAGTAAGATAATGTCATCGAAAAGGTCATAGGTTTCTGGTGCAGGTTGCAGAAGAGAGATTATCATAGTTACATCCATGATATGCACCATCTGCTTCATAAACCTTACAATCTGAAAAGTCGTAGAACTATCAAGACCAGTTGAAATCTCATCCATGTAAAGAGCCTTGGCAGGTCCAACCAACATTTCTCCTGCATTTTGTGTAAGTCACTCCTCTTAGGCTGTTCTCACAAAGTGAAATGGCAACAACAAGGACTTTGCAGATGATAAAACGCTTCAAATATTAAGGAAACACTACAAAAACATATATGGTTGATGTCATGATGTACTTAGAAATGATTTATCTCCTTTCTCAGTTTATTCTGTAAAAAACTTATCAGAGCATTGTGCGTAAATATCCTGAATGAATACTTGAGTACTAAAAAATAGTACATGATTAGTGCTTGGAATTCCCCTGTGGTAACTACCAATTAAATTGTTATAACAGAAGTTTAAAGTCTCCTATGGTAGTGTGGTAGGAAAATTGTTCAGCAGCCAAAGTGTGGAGGAAACACTAGGGCCTAATAGTAATGGCATCAATCATCATAAACAGAGGATAATCTTTTCACCAAGAAACTTTGTAATAATTGATAGTCTTGTTTTAATTAACTTTTCATTTTTTAAGTAGAAAAATAATTCAAGTCCCTTCACATAGATTTATCTATAACTAGTTTACCTGTAGTTACACGTTTCTTTTGTCCACCAGATATGCCCCTTCTCATTTCATCACCCACCATAATATCAGAACATATATCCAGTCCGAGAATCTATTACCACATAATAGTTAAAGAAGTTAAGCTTGAGAATATTGTTGGGCAGGAAAGTAGAAGACAGGAAACCAGTAAGCAATGCCTGAAACAAACCTTGAGCACATAGTCAGTAACTAGACTAGTCTTTTGGCCTGCCATTGCTGTAGCTTTCATAAATGCATCAATCTCAGGGTCTGGTTTGATCCCTGCTTGTTTTTCTCGCCTTGACAACTCTGCCAAGAGATCATATCGAGTTCCAACCCCCAAGCACCGCCCTGAGAAATCAAGTGTCTCCCTAACCGTCATCTCTCCATGGTGAAGATCATGTTGACTTATATAAGCACTTGTCCTTTGAGGGAAGAACTCGTGAAATTCATGACCACAATAAGTGATTTTTCCTGATACCTGTTCAAATATTGAAGGTTCTTCATTGGTAAATTAAACCAAAAAAATAAAATAAAACTTCAGTAAGGACTTGTTATAATGCTAAAAGAAAAAATGTTAATTCGGAAGCAACTTCAAGAACGGATTGAGAAAGGTGAAGCACAAGGACAGAAAGAAACAAAAAAAAAGAGTCAAAAATCCAAAGACTGTTGAGATTGTAACTTGTAAGAACTTGGAAGTCATGTTATTTATTGTATATCCATTCATAAACAACAGAAGCTGACAGACCCTTAGATCAGTGCCGGTCTTCCCAGCGAGCGCCTGCAGCAATGTAGTTTTTCCAGATCCTGGAGGTCCTAGAAGTAGAGCCATTCTGTGTAAGAGAAAGACAATGAGATAAATTGTTAGGAAAATTCAAATTAATTGAAGTTCATCTGAAAGCTCAACGTGTGGAATTAATCGTCTTGAGAAGCATGAATAATTGATTGGTAATTGAGAAATTTAACATGAGGCTGTCTTAATCTTAGGAAATTGAAAACAATTAATACCTTGATGGTTTCACTATTCCACTCACATCACGGAGTATATTGACCACTCTTTTCTTAGAAGGGAAAAGCTTGATTAAGCCAAGAACTCCCTATTTATCAGAAAACATTACAAAATTTTTCATCAATACAAATCCAAGCTTAGGACTTGAAGTGTATATATGTATATATATAATTTCTCCAGAAACATCTTTAAAAACATATAGAAATGTTAAAGAAGATTCCATTAATCCAATTTACTGGAGCATATATTTGGGGAGGGGAGAAATCACCTCAATTGTGTTCAAGGTTGCATTCAGCAAAGTTGGAAGAGCCCTGGTTCCAAGGTAAGCATCTCCTTCTATAGATAAATGCTCAAACCTTACTTCAATTCTTGGGACATCAATTCCCACCCTTTTCAATGTAAGAATAACATCTTTTAATAGACAAATCAAATTAACTCAAAATTTCAGAAAAGTAAGGAAAGAGGAACTACTACTGCACTATCAAAGCATTAATGTCGTAATCCCAAAAAAGAAACAGGCTAGTATGAGATATAGATATAGAAAGTCACCTATCATTTCTCTCCCTAAGTCTAAGAAGAAACCTCTCATTATCCTCTTCAACAACCCTTAGTACACTTTCCATGAGATTCTTCTTGTCCTGCATATCAAGATTGGTAATATCAACTTCCTCATAGCCAACCTTTCCTTCATCCAGAACATGCTTCAGCATTCCCCTTCTCAAACGATCATAAGTAGGAAGCCTTTCAATGGCAGCCCACTTGAGCTCCTCCTCATCTTCTTCCCTCCCACTTCTCTGGAAAACATCTGTCTGACTATTCCATGCCTCCCGGATACTAGCTGAAGCCCAACCTCTTTTGCTTCCTGAACCCAAACTCATCATCCGGCTCATTGACCGGTTGCTCATCGACCTGGCAAGGTCATCTCCAGACAATGCTGATGCCATGATGCTTTTTCTTTCTTTTTTTTTTAAACTGCTATTACAACTCTTAAGATTATAAATTACCAAAAATGTTTTATAAAGCAAACTTCGAAAGAACTAAACATATGAAAGAATTGACGGTAGCTTAGTCTTTGGGAGTTAACACTTGTCAAGAAGAAACTTAAAGCACCACGGGGGAAGCGCTGGATAAAGGGAGAATGGTGCTCGGTGGATTCTGAGAGTTGCCCAAGGCATGGTTTATGTAGCTAAAGATGGTCACAAGGAGAGTGATGTAATGACAGAAAAGGGTGTTCCGGAGTTTGAAGAGAGTTGAAAGATTTACATGAAATGTCCTGAGTTTTGTCAAGTTTCATGAAGACTTGAGTCATCACATTGTCTAGTATTTCCCAGGGCGTTTCTTTCAAGGAATCCTCGACGGCCGGAAGAAGACAGTGAGAAAATATTGATTAGGAAATGGAGACGTTCCCTTCTCTACAGTCGGCGGGCAGACAATATTCTGGTTTTGAACTTTGACTAGTTCCAGAATTCCAGAGAAGCTAAAGCTAGTATCCTGCCCAATCATGCTAGACAAATATTCCATATTTTGGCCGCCAACATATTCTGCACTTATAATATTTGTTAGGCTGATTACGAATTATTAAATTATCCACTTGCTGGAAGCCTACCCTTTATCTAATCCGATTAATATTTTTGTGGGCTTTCCTTCTTTCCTTCTATGCGAAACATCCCCAGGTCGAGACATCTAACTCCAAACGTTTTCCATATTTGGAGCGAATCCCACCTAATGTTCGCTCCGATTCGGAGATTTGCGTGTAAATAAGGAGTCACATTCATTCTCTTGATTGGAGGAAAGGTATATTCCCATTAAACTTTTCAAGTAAAATGTCCTCCTATAAACGAGGCTGTATTCTTGAAAAAATAAACTTAATTTATCTTCCGTTTATAAACAATGACAATCTAATACTAAAAAAAAAACTATTTGATTTGTAAACAATATATTTAAAATAAATTCTTGAATTATTTAAAAGCAGTCAAATAAGTTTATTTTTTTTTTAATTTTTAATTAAATTTTTATATTTTTATTTTAAACTAAATAAGCTTTTATAATTAATAATTAATAATTTATTATTAACTTCATTACTCAAAATACCATTTATCATTTAACATACACTTTTTAACATTTTCTTTAAAGAAATGAGTTTTAAGCATTGCTTGGACTGTTTCTTGAGAAAATGATGCACCAATTAATTAGATTTTTTTTTTTATAATTGGAGGAACTCTACTCCTTAAATGAGAGTTCTCATATATCAATCAATAAGTCAAATATTCAAGTACGTTTAGATTTTACAGATTGATGAGAAAGAAAGCTGCAATTATGCAATTTGTTTTATTGCAGCTCATGCGTGGCCTTAAAAGCAAAACTCACAGTTTTGTTTTCATGCAGCAACTGTACATATAAGCGGATTGGTCGTCGTTAAGTAAGGTTTGTATTTGTCACACTTTGCAAATCCTTTAACAATACTTCTACTAAAATGCTACGAAAGTGTTTTCATAATGTGGTGAATTGATTAAAAAAAGAAAAAAAAAATTATTAGAAGGTAATATTATACCCCCTCCGTCTTTCTTTTGCCCATTTTTTAAATGTCTTAAAATAATTTTTCCCCATTTTTAAACGTCTCATATTCTTACATTTTTTATATTACAAAATTATTTTTTATGAATTTTTTGTCACATTAAAGGTTTCTGAACATCAACATTATTAAAAATTAAAAATTCAATATAAAATACACACTAAAGTACAAACTTTTGGATTAATATTTTTGAAAATTAAATAAAGACATATTATAAGATGGAGGGAATAATAGTATAGTAAATAAAATGAGAAAGTATACCTGGCATATAGGTACCAAAAAACAAAAAAAGAAGCACCAACGTGAATGTTGCTTGTTGAACTCTAAAGTTAACTTTGAACCAGAGAGTAGCATGCATAGTTTTTAAAATATTTCAGAAGAGAACAAGGAAAGGAGGTCAACGAAACACAACCAATAAACACATTTACTGAAACCACCGCATCAGCAGATTCCTCCATACTCTTCTCCGGCAACGCCACCTTCTCAAACTCAGCAGTATCTATAATCAACACAGCCAACCTGAACTCCATACTGTGAATCCTCAACGTGGTTGTGGTCGGTACATTGGCCTTGGTTGTGACCTGCACCATCACACTAGCATGGTCAAACCGCCTGCGCTTTAATGTATGATCATCCACCCTCACAAACTTAACCCAACAAATCTCCCAGGAACCTAAAATATTCTTCATGCCACACATGCAATGGGACACTCTCAATCCTAACAAAAATTAGAGTTGTCAACAGGTAGGGTACCCGTTAATTTTGAGGTACCCGAACCCTAAACCCTATAAAAAATAAAATACACAAACCCTATTAACTATCTAAATATTTTATTAAATTACTACCATAACCCTAACCCTAATACATCCTCACTAGCTTATAATTATCCTAACTTGTTTAAAAACCTGATTATATAAAAAAATTATTAAAATGCTCTTCATGGGTATCCAATTACCCGAACCAAAATCCGTATCCGTATCCATATATAATAATATTTATCGTACATATTATATATAATTTACTAATAATTAAATTAATAAAAACACATAAATAATAAAATTTAAATTTA